GTGTCGCCTGGGCTGGGCAACTTCGTCTTCTTCACCTCTAGAACGTGGGCCAGAAGGCGCTGAAGCATGCCTGGGCAACTTCATCTTCTTCACTTCCAGAACGCCAGATAGAAGGCGCTAAAGCAACCAGAGTCGCCTGGCTGGGCACCTCCAGAACGCTGGCCAAAAGGAGCTGAAGCAACCAGCGTCGCCTGGCTTGGCAACCTCATCTTCTTCACCTCCAGAACACCGGCCACAAGTCGCTGAAGCAACCAGCTTCGCACCTAGTTGGGCAACCTCACCTTCTTCACCTCCAGAACGCCGACCAAAAGGCGTTGAAGCATGGCTGGGCAACTTCATCTTCTTCACCTCCAGAACGCCGGCCAATTAAAAGGTGGCTGAAGCAACCAGCGTCGCTTGGCTAGGCAACCTCATCTTGTTCACCTCCGGTATGGCGACCAGAAGGTGCATGTTCGGCCTCCATCCTACCTACCCCGCTGTCACTTTGGAAGGGGCTCATCTCATATTCTCTTACTCCAGCCCTCTCTTCTTTCTAGTGACAGATCCAGGAAAAAAAATAGCAGGAGGGTAACAAATTAGACAAATACAGAGGGAAGGAGTTCTCTCTTTGTATTGTATGTAAGGACAACATCCTCTCTAAGAGAAAATGAAGAACGCTGCTAGAGCAAAAGAAGTTAATAGGTTGAGAGAAGCCTATCTCTCCATCACTGATGAACACGTACTACTCATCAATAGCTAGGTTGAGATCGAGAAGCCTAGGCCGTCGTCGTCTTGATGTCCTCCTCTTCCTCTCCCTACGCCCGTCACCGTGACAGGGCGCACTGTCTCCTTCCACACGCACAACCGCTGCTGCATCCTCCCAATCCCCACCTCCTCCTCACACAGCGACGACAGCTGCGCAGCTAACAATACTATAGTGCTCAAGTATATCTAATTGGAAACAAATCAATCAAGAACCTTAATTAAAAAAGAAGCGTACGTAATTAAAAAAGAATATTGGGATCGAACGAACATTCTATGGCGAAGGGAGAGGGACCGTGGTTCAATTAACAAACCTGCGGAAGATCTGTGTCTCTCCTGATGTAAACGCCGTCCATCTCCATCAGACCGCCGCCTCCACCACGTACGCGATCCTGCAAGCGCAACAAACAAATATTTGATCATAAATTACTCCAAATCATAGCACGTACGGTATCACACAATCGCCTAGCTATATATACCCGATCGAACCGGTTGTTGTTGTTGTGGCAGCTTTTGCAATGAGATGGACGTGATGCTGATGAGGAGGAGGGGGAGCTAGGCCGAGATGATGGGGAGGAGGGCAAACTGGTACGTGCTTGCTATGAGCGTGAGGTGAGGGTAGATTTATTAATTATGGAGTGAGTCGATCGATGATGGATTACAGCGTGGTGCGTACGCCTGCGCTCTCCCTAAAGTGTTTATAGAGCAATAAGTGACCAAAGTTGTTGTCACTGTCAGATATATAGCACTTTTTGACTAATCTCCCATGCTACCATGTACGCTTAATTAGGAACTTCAATTTAAGAACACTACTACGTACACCCGTAGTGCAAGGTTAAGGGCAATCTATATACGTGGGACCTACATATTATCAGGACCGGCTAATCTTCGACCTTAGGGATAACCTACTTAAAACAACAGCCCGGAGAAAAGGGATGACACTGTGGTCATGTTTAGTTCGCGAAAAGAAAATTTTTAGATGTCACATTGGACGTTTGACCGGATGTCGAAAGGGGTTTTCGGACACGAATGAAAAAACTAATTTCATAACTTGCCTAGAAACCGCAAGACAAATTTATTAAGTCTAATTAATCCGTCATTAACACATATGGGTTACTGTAGCACATGCTCGGCTCCACACCTTTTTTCTGCGTATGCAGCATCCACCGGAGCTCCCACTCCCTTCCCTTCCCTCGCGATTCCTCCTCGGTTCCTCCTCCTCGTCGCCGGCGAGAGGCGCCGCCCCCTGTTGCTGGTGCTCGGCCGTCGCGCAGTGGGCGCTTCCCTAGCCCTCAGTTGCTGCCGTTGTGAGGTCAACGCCGGTGAAGCAGCAAGAGAGAAGAAATTAAAGAGAGAGAAAATTAAAGAAGAAACATGTGGTGGTGATATTGCTGTGTGTGTGGATAAAGACGGCGTCTGATATTTTATAGCGCTCGGAACGTCCGTTCGTTCGGAAGCATTTTTGATACTTTAAACATGCCTGGCTAGGATAGGTATTTGGAACCGTAAAAGATCGATACTACTCCCTGGCTACGATAGGAGTATATATCTAGCTTCGCGCATCAAAGTAGGAGATTATTGCAGAGCCACAAGGAAATTTTGGACGGCATGGACGAGCCAAATTAATTAATTGGATTCCCTTCAAATGCAAAAATCTACTCGATCGCATGATAACGGTAAAGTGGTACAAAGAAAGCAAACCAACCAAAAACAAACAAGCAGCAATTGGTTTGTGCTTGCCGAGCTAGGCTAGGTGCCTAGGACTAGGAGGTAAGGAGTACTCCCTCCGTACTATAATATAAGTGATTTTGAGTTTTTACTTATAACGTTTGACCACTCGTCTTATTCAAATTTTTTTTGCAAATATAAAAAACGAAAAGTTGTGTTTTAAGTACTGTAGATAATAAAGTAAGTCAAAAATAAAATAAATAATAATTTAAAAATTTTTGAATAAGACGAGTGGTCAAACGTTGCAAGCAAAAACTCAAAATCTCTTATATTATGAGACGGAGGGAATACTAATTAAGGAAAACCCTATATATACATTTTCCTCTTCTTTCCCATGGAAGCCGCCAAGCCGGGCCACACCGAAAGCAGCGAAGCTTCGAAGCACCCTAGCCGGCGGGCCTTATAGAGAATTCGAATTCAACAATTTGCCATTGACATTGTTGCTTTTTATAATATACCGATGACTTTATCAATTGTTTTACAATACGCTATTAGGATGGACCTTATTTTCAAAAATATCCAAAATACCCTCATGGACATACAAGTTTAAAAATTGATTTATCTAATTAGAAGTTTCTGGAAAATATGAAAACTTTTGCGTGACCTCCTTACACAACATGAAAGCACATGCAAATATGCAACGGATTAGCTGAGAAGCATTCAACAGGGGAGAAGAAGAAAACAAAAATGAAGAGATTAGACGATGAGAACTCAAATCAATAGGTTGTTTGCTGCTCTCATCGCTTTTTTGCTTTCTTTTCTCGTGTGTTTTTTTTGCCTTTTTTGACAATTTTTTCACGGGCGTTTTTTTGCTAGTTTTTTTCAAATGTTCTTTTTTTTTTTGCTTTTTTCAATACAGGAGAATATATGACGAAATAAAAGTCGTGTAGTAGGTGGCAAAAAATCGATGGATCCTATCCGACTCAAGCGTCCATCGATTTAACGTTTTTTCTGACAGTTTTTTTAGAGCGATTTTTTTAATAGACGGTGTTTTTTTCTTGCGCGGTTTTTTAAAACCATTTTTAGAAATGTCGCATTTTTTCTGATAGTTTTTTCCTCGCATGTTTTTTTTAAAAAAATTACCGATGATGGAAATATTTTTTTCTCGCGCGTTTTTTATTTTTTATGGAAGATGAAAAACCTTTTTAGCGTGTTTTTTTGCGCTTTTTTCTCACGCGTTTTTTTTCAACCGTTTTTTTTTCTCGTGCATTTTCTCTTTTGAAATAGTTAGATTATATTAGAGATATAGAAGAGATATATATTGATTAGAAATCGGACTTTGTTTCGCCCTTTTCATTTTTTTTTCTAGTTTGCATTTTTTATTTTATACGAACCATTTTTTTTCGCCACTTTCTTAGGGAATTGGACGAGTTTTTTTAGATGTTTTTTGGGTTTTTTTTCGCCTTTATAGGAATCAGACTTTTTTTCCGTTTTTAAAGGAATCGAATCTAGTGTTTTTTTCACCAATTTTTTTTGCCTTTATAGGAATCGGATTTTTTTTCGGTTCGGATCTATGGTTTTTTTCGCCACGTAGAGGAAACAGAACTTTTGTTGTTGTTATTTTTCTTTTTTTTTTGTGCAGCTTTCCTTTTTCTTTTTATGCACCTTTATGCTTTTGTTCTCTCTCTTTTATTATTATTTTTGACAAAAACGACCTCAAATACCTTATTGCAAGATTATAGGGACTCAAATGTAAATATAAAAATTACAGAGACTCAAATGCAAAAATACAAACCCAAAAATTAAAATCATATGAAAAATGGAATGCACTCGACCTGTAGGTTCCATTTTTGTAAACAGATCTTTAATCCTGCACATCATTTTCTTTCACCAAGATGTGTGAGATATCACGGTATAGATTGAAACCGAGAGGAGTGGTGGCTGGGATCTCGGACTCAAAAGGAGTGGATAGGAGTCGGACTTTTTTTTTAAGGGGGAATCGAATTTATAGTCGGACTTTTTTTTCGTTTCTGAGGGGGAATCGGATAGGAGTCATTTTTTTTTATTTTTTCGCTATTTTTTTTGTTTTGATGGACGAAAAAAACATCTCTTATTTTTTAAGTAGTAAAGATATTGATTCGGTTAAGCATGTGTATACTATGATGGTTTTCGCAATAAAACCGAGTAAGGATGAGCATTTTAAACAAATGACTTGTGGGGTGGAAACATCAAACTTAAAGTGACTTCTAGAATGGTTTTTGCATTTTCCCCTACTAGTAGAAAACTAAAAAGAGAACTACTATCTACCACTCGTGTGAAAACTTTTTTGTTTATTACACTCGAATTTCTAGCGATGCCAAAATATTTTGAAGGTAAACACAGGGGTATGATATAAGCGTGTGTGCATGCATATGAGCGCTTGTATTTATACTGTGTTTCTCAAAATATAATATAAAATTTTGTAGCTCTATAATATAGATGAGATTTTCAAAAGAATTATGGGAGCTTCTATTCAATTCCATAGTTTTTATCCAAGTTGTGAAGTGGATAAAGAAGGGGTATGACTAGACATGTGGTGGTTGTTGCAGTGAGCAGAGAGCCAGAGATTCCCATCCTCACTTTCCTTTGACTTCGTTACCCGGGTCCTGGCTCTCCCTCTCAAAAAGTAAAGAAAAAAAAAGAAGAGAAGAAAACTAACTCGACGACCTCGTAGCTTGGTATAATTACATGTTATCCTGCACTGCAGCGAATCGCCAGAGCTACATCCGACGCAGTGCTGCTACACTTGCTCGCTGGTGGCGCTCCAGGTTCAATCCATTTGCTAACTAGGAATCACCTAGGCAAAAGGTAGGCCTTTGAGTTCAAATTTCTAGTTATTTCTTGATCAATGTTTCGGATCTGTAGTTGGAAGCTAAGGTCAGGAATTCTGAATTTCTTTTTTTGTCTCCAATAGGATGTTCTGATAAGCTTCAATTCGAGCTGAAAGTTTTGTCACTGCGTAGCTAGGAAGATGGACTGATTTTCTACTTGGGATTTGGGAGTTCATATACATATACTTGACCTAAAAGTTTAAGCTTTTTTTTGTTGGTAATTAAGATAAAATTGAGCAATATGATTTTTTTTATATAAAGGAAACAACAAGCTTGTTGTTGCTGAGTGAGTTGAAAGTTTCTAGAAGAAAAACGAGTTAAAAGTAAAAAAAAAAGAAGTTGTCCTTGGAACCTTATTATGTGTTTTTTTTGGGATGAAGGAGAAGACGAAGGAATTTGACAAATTGAGGTGCCAGTAGCAGAAGCTAGGCACTGGGGCAGATTAGCACCATCCATCAGTTGAAAGCTGCTGCTGCACATAGCTTTGGTCCCAGGTATGGAGCTGGTTACAGGGGTGCTGGGCAGTTTGCTCCCCAAGCTGGGCGAGCTGCTCAAAGACGAGTATGACCTGCAGAGGGGCACGAGAGAGAAGATCAAGTCTCTGTCGCGGGAGCTCGAGAGCGTGCACGCTGTCCTCCGTATTGTCGGCGAGGTGCCATCGGAGCAGCTCGACGAGCTGGTCAAGCTCTGGGCACGTGATGTGAGGGAGCTGTCCTATGACATGGAGGACATCGTCGACACCTTCTTGGTGCGTTTCAATGACGGTCATGAGCCCGATGACCCACGGGTGCTCAGGCGCCTCCGCAAGAAGATGAGCAAACTGTTCAAGAAAGCCAAGGATCGCCGCGAGATTGCTGGCGCGATACGAAGAATCAATGAGAAGCTCCAGGAGGTGGCAACCAGGCGTGCCAGGTACAGAGTCGATAGCATTGTCACAAAGCCTGCAGGCCCAGTGAGCATCGATCCTCGCATTCAGGCTCTGTACAAAAGGTCAACAGAGCTTATTGGCGTTGACGGACCAATGGACAAGATCATAAACATGCTATCACCTAGGAATGATATTCATCTGTCTGATAAGAAGAAGATTATCTCAATTGTGGGATTTGGAGGACTAGGAAAGACCACCCTTGCCAAAGCAGTCTATGACAAGCTTAAACCAGATTTCGATTGTGGGGCTTTTGTTCCGGTCGGTCGGAATCCTGACATGAAAAAAGTTTTAAGGGACATTCTGATTGATCTTGACAAGCAAAACTATATGCATTCAAATACAACGACGACATTGGATGAAAGGCAGCTCATCAACGGAATCAAGGATCTAGTCGAGAAAAAGAGGTGCTGATATATAATTATATATTCAGTTATTCAATCAGGTCGCAAAGATTGGTGTGATTGTTAGTTTTGGTAGCTTTAGTATGCTTACTTTATGCCTAACTAGTGTTATGTACACTTGTAATAATTCTACTCCCTCCAAGTAATAATTCCACAGGTAACCTTGCAAAAATAAAATAAAATAAAAATCCATAGATGACCTTTTGCCAAAAATATGTTATGCTCCTTCCCTCCGAATTTACAATTTATACTTAATCTTGCACAAAGACCAAGGAGGTATTGAAATTTGAAATGAGGATAACTACGTTTATTATTTCTAAATGCTAGTCTAAATGGATGTGCCTATAAAACACAAAGTAAGACTGTTTGAGTATGGAAGGAATAACACACCTAAAACACCTTGGAATATGAAATAAACCCTCTAAAACAAGGTTGAAAGGATACACCACATTCACTTTATAAGGGTTAGCTAGAAATTATCACATTGAGAGATGAAAAACTACCACACCGGTAATATCTACGCACAACAAAAAAAAAAAGATTGAAGTTTTGTTTTACTAGGAATTCGTCATCTACTCAATTTTTTCATTGCATTTGCTGGTGCATGCATGTATTATATTTGTAATTTTATTTAAAACAGTGCCTTAACAGTCTGTGTAAACATCTTTATCTGTAACTTATTTGATACACTTTTTTTTGCGGGGAAATATATTTGATACACTAATATAACATCCAATTTTGGATCTGTTTGTACTGTTTATTCTGGTTGTTAAATTTAAAACACAAGTATTGCGTACAATTGCCAGATTAGGACAATGACTGATTCTATGGGACAAATGTAATACTAATCATTACTTCTTGTTCTATCATTTAAGGGGAACTCTCTCCTGTTCTACCTGTTGATGGTTGACATGCTTCTTGCTTGTTAATGTTTATCCTTCCGATGTACAGGAGCATTGTTATTATTGATGACATATGGGATAAGAAATCATGGGAATTAATCAGATGTGCACTGCAAGATAGTAATTGTGGAAGTAGAGTAGTCGTAACTACTCGTATTTCTGAAGTTGCCACACATGCGGGTTGTGTTTACAATATGGAGCCACTTTCTCGTGATGACTCTGAAAAATTGTTATACACAAGAATAGCTAGTGCTGAAGGCAAATGTCTTACTAGACCATCAGCCGTGGCATGTGAGAAAATTTTGAACAAATGTGATGGTGTGCCATTAGCTATAATAACAATAGCTAGTCTGTTGGCGAACAAACCCGAAGAGGATTGGTCTGAGGTGTACAATTCCATTGGTTTTGGGCATGGAGGTAATAACGATGTAGAGAATACTATAAAGATATTGTCTTTTAGCTACTATGATCTGCCTTCCTATCTAAAGGCTTGCCTATTGTATCTAAGCATATTTCAGGAAGATGTTGAGATCGACAAAAATCTTTTGATATGGAAATGGATAGCTGAAGGTTTTGTTCAGGAGAAACAAGCAGTACGGATAGGGTTATTTGAGCTTGCGGAGGGTTGTTTCAACGAGCTGATAAACAGAAACATGATCCAGCCAGAGGTGTCACAATATGAATGGTATGGACCGAAGTTCCAAAGTGACCAAGTGTATGAGGAAGGCTATGTATATGGTTGCCGTGTTCATGATATGATTCTTGATATGATCCGTTCATTGTCAAAGGAAGAAAATTTTGTCACTGTATTGGACAGCCATGAGCAGTCGGAACTTCCTCTGAGCCATGCTCGCAGGTTAGCCCTGCATGGTATGAGTATTGAACAGCAAAACCGTTGTCAGATGGCTAATATGGCTGCAGAGCAAGCGAGGTCCTTTTTTGCCAACAAGTGCGATGATATTAGCTTGGTTTTCCCATACTTCCGAGCTGTACGGGTATTAGGTCTAGAATATTCAGCGGATTATGGTATTTGGCGGCATTTTAGGAGTTTATTTCACCTAAGGTACCTTGGGCTAGTAGGTGTCAACATTAAAGATCTCCCCAAGGAGGTTGGAGATCTGAAGTTTCTGCAGACATTGGATGTGAAGAGAACTTCTATATCGAAACTGCCAGATACTGTGGGCATGCTAACACAGCTGCTGTGCCTACATGCTTACGCTGCCGCACCGGTTGGTTTGATCGGGAAGCTGACATCCCTCCAAGAGCTGTGGATTATAAAGCCTTCTGCAGCTGCATACATGCACCATGACGAGAATGCTGATGACATGTGCTTCAGCGAGAAGGATGCTGGTGACATGTACTCTGATGAGAAGAATGCTGCAAGGCAGTTTGTTAAGGACTTAGGTAGACTCAGAGAGCTGAGGGTGCTCCGGACTAAGATTGATGTAATGGATGATAGCATAGCAAGAGATTTGCTAGAGTCTCTAGACAATCTGCACAAGATAAGGTATTTGGAAATTTTGGGTATATTATGGGGGATGAACGTCACATGGACCAGAACAGGATTCATCTCCCCATGGCACCTCCGCCGCTTGTGTTTGGTATGCATCGAGTTTTCCAGATTGCCTGCTTGGATTAACTCGTCAGCTCTTCCAAACCTCTCCTTTATAAACGTGACAGTGCAGGTTATCCAGGAGCAGGACATGGAAACCCTTGGGATGTTGCCAGAACTATATTGCCTAAAATTGTACTCGCGTTACACAAACGTAGTTAGCATTAAGCATACTGGCAATGGTGGCTACTTCCAGAAGTTGAAATCCTTCAAGATTGTTGGCTCATCAGTCCGGTTTGATCTGAGTTGCTGCGACTGCAGTGGTGGTGAGATAAAATCTTCTTTCATGCCAAGCCTCGAAACCTTTGAGACTGATGTCCATGTGCGGTTCCTAGAAGATGCGAACATGCTTGGTTTCGACAAGCTTGGCTTGGAGAACCTCCCTAGTTCGCTAAAGAGAATCATTGTTGTAATCTGTTGCCGAGATGCCTGTGATGCAGAGGTGGAGGAAGCACAGGCGGCATTGGAGCATGCAGCTGACATCCATCCCAACAATCCCACTCTTAAAATTGATAGATATGGAGAAGAAATTAAACGGCCCTTGTGAGGTATGCTGATGATATCCCTGATTGTGAGGTATGTGGTGAATATTCTCAATCTGAATTTCATCCTATTATTAAGTGCGCTCTGGCCCGGCTGTTCTACTTGTATGTACTGTAAAACTCCGCAGAGAGGATGATATACTGCTATCATGTTCTGTGGAATGTGCCCGCCCCGGACTGCAAGGGAACGAGAAGTCATGGTGAATTTGTACCAAATCATCAAATGAAGGGATACAGGCCAGAGATGTTTTTGTGTGTGTTGTTTGGAGTTTTGACATCAAATTTGTAAATAGGATATGCTATATTGCTGCACACCAAATTGAAAATGTAAGACAAATCCTAAACCTTTTCACTCCATTTGAGTGTGTAAAGATGCTGCCAGCTAGGGCTGCCCCTGGGGAGGGTACGGGTAACCCATACCAATTTTATTCATACCCATTTCAAAATTAGCTTACTCATAAATTAGGTATTATTCAGTAGTTATTGCTGCCGGCATGGATGGGACGTGGAGGCAGGATGTCGGTTGCCACAGCCGCATAATAAACAATCATTTTCTATTTGTGTAGAACTTACTATTCTTTAAATGAAAAGTGAAGCTGAGTTTAAATTTATTTCAGACTCCAACTCCTGAAATTAAATTAAGAAGTTGGAGCTCTACTAAATGGGCCCATAAATCATTAAACTTTATATCTACTCCATCCGTCTCAAAATATTTGAACTAGGAGTGCATTTATTTTGAGATGAATGGAGTAGATATAAAGTTTAATTATTTGTAGGGCCCGTTTGATAGAGCGTAGTACCTTATATATATAAATATATTACATGACTGTATATAATAATTCTCAAAAAAAAAGTTATAGGTGAGGTTTTTATGCGTCTAACGAACCGTCCACAGGAAGTTGAGCACTCGAACTGCTCGTTTGAGCATGGCAACGATGTCTTTGTACGGGCCTCAGTAGTTGTGTACTTGTGTTGCCGCAACTTTTAGTTCTTTGCTTCTCCGTGTGAGTTGGTTTTCCTCAATTAATTGCGCAGTTGTAAGGTTTTTGACCTGGTTTTCCTCCTAAACTAGATCAACTCTCTTCTTATTATTGAAAGCAGAAGCTTCCTGCCCTCTTTTGAGGTTTGCCACAAAAGAGTAGGTGAGGTTTTGAAAAGAAACTCTGAGAGCTTCTAGACGTTTCCATAGTTTTTGTCCAAGTTGTGACATTGAAAATGAGGGGTATGACTAGACACATGTGGTGGTTGCAAGCACTGAGCAGAGAACCAGGAGGAGATGAATCCGGCTAGCATCTCTTTACTTGGTTCCGTCTTCTCAAATCTCATTCACAAGAAGAAAAAAAAAGATTGCCTCAACGACCTCGTCGTATCGTGCTAACTATGGATCACCTAGGCGAAGGGTAGGCCTTCGAATTAAAATTTCAAGTGATTTCCTGATCAAAGTTTTGGATCTGTAGTTGGAAAGTCAGGAATTTCTGAAATTTGTCTCCCATAGGATGTTCTGATCAGCTTTGAACTGAATGTTTTCTCACTGCATGCATAGGAAGGTGGACCGATTTTCTACTTGGGACTTGGGAGTTCTTAGATACTTGACCTAAAAGTTTCAGCTTTTTGGTTGGTAATTAAGATAAAATCGAGCAAGATGTTCTTTTTTTTTTTTGAAAGGAAGCAGCAAGCTTGTTGTTACTGCGTCAGTTGAAAATTTCTTTAAAAAAGCCGAGTTAAATAAGAGTAAAAAAAGAATTATTCTTGGAACCTCATTATGTTCTTTTTTATGATGAAGGAGAAGGTGAAGGATTCGACAAATTAAGGTGCCACTCACAGAAGCTAAGCACTGGGGCAGATTAGCACTATCCATCAGTTCAAAGCTGCTGCTGCCTGCTGCTGCGCATAGCTTGTTCTCAACTCTCAAGCATGGAGCTGGTTACAGGGGTGATGGGCAGTCTGCTCCCCAAGCTGGGTGAGCTTCTCAAAGACGAGTATGACCTGCAGAGGGGCTTGAGAGAGAAGATCAAGTCTCTCTCCCGGGAACTCGAGAGCGTGCACGCTGTCCTCCGAAAGGTCGGCGCGGTGCCATCGGATCAGCTCGATGAGCTGGTCAAGCTCTGGGCACGTGATGTCAGGGAGCTGTCCTACGACATGGAGGACATTGTTGACATGTTCTTCGTGCGCTTCAATGACGGTCATGAGTCCGATGACCCACGTGTGCTCAGGCGCTTCCGCAAGAAGATGAGCAAACTGTTCAAGAAAGCCAAGGATCGCCGCGAGATTGCTGGCGCGATACAAAGAATCAATGAGAAGCTCTAGGAGGTGTCAAATAGGCGTGCCAGGTACAGAGTCGACAGCTTTGTCACCAAACCTGCAGGTCCAGTGAGCATTGATCCTCGCCTTCAGGCTCTGTACAAAAGGTCAACAGAGCTTATTGGCGTTGATGGACCAATGGACAAGATCATAAACATGCTATCACCTTGGAATGATATTCATCTGTCTGATAAGAAGAAGATCATCTCAATTGTAGGATTTGGAGGACTAGGAAAGACCACCCTTGCCAAAGCAGTTTATGACAAGCTTAAACCAGATTTCGATTGTGGGGCTTTTGTTTCGGTCGGTCGGAATCCTGACATGGAAAAAGTTTTAAGGGACATTCTGATTGATCTTGACAAGCAAAAGTATAAGCATTCAATTATAATGACATTGAATGAAAGGCAGCTCATCAACGAAATCAAGGATCTAGTCGAGAAAAAGAGGTACTGATATATATTCAGTTATTCAATCATGGAAGGCTGGTCGCAAAGATTGCTGCGATAGTTAGTTTTGGTAGCTTTAGAATGCTTTCTTAATGCCTAACTAGTGCTATGTACACTTGTATTCTACTCCCTCCAAGTATGGTTTCCAAATTTCCACAGGTAACCACGCAAAAATAAAATAAATTAAAAATCCATAGATAACCTTTTGCCAAAAATATGTTATGCTCCTTCCCTCCGAATTAACAATTTATACTTAATCTTGCACAAAGACCGAATGCTAGTCTAAATGGATGTGCCTATAAAGCACAAAGTAAAACTGTTTTGAGTATGGAAGGAATGACACACTTAAAACACCTTGGAATATGCAATAAACCCTCTAAAAAATGAGGACAACCAAGGAGGAACTTAGTTGTCAAATAATTAGAACAAATTGTGAGTCTGTTGAGAATTGAACACGGAACTTGGGGTTGAAACCACACACCCCTTGCCACTGTACTATCAAGCATTATGAAAAAAAAAAAACATAATGCTAACCTTTACTTCTCATTTCAACATACAAGGGTAACTCTCCTGCTTGCTGATGGTTGATAATTCCTTATAGCTGACATGCTTCTTCCTTTTATATATTCTTTCACTAGTTTTAGTTACTAACTTGTGGCTCTTGCATTATCATTGAGATGTACAGGTGCTTTATTGTTGTTGACGACATATGGGATAAGAAATCATGGGAACTGATAAAATGTGCACTGCAAGATAGTAATTGTGGAAGTATAGTTGTCGCAACTACTCGTATTTCCGAAGTTGCCATGCATGTCGGTCATGTTTACAAAATGGAGCCACTTTCTCTTGATGACTCCAAAAAATTGTTGTATGCAAGATTAGCTGGTGCTCAAGGCAAGTGTCTGAATATACCACCAGCTGTGGCATGTGAAAAAATTTTGAACAAATGTCATAGTGTGCCATTAGCCATAACTACAATAGCTAGTTTGCTGGTGAACAAACCAGAAGAGGATTGGTCTGAGGTGTACAATTCTATTGGTTTTGGTCATGAAGGCAATAATGATGTAGAGAATACTAGAAGGATATTGTCTTTTAGCTACTATGATCTGCCTTCACATCTAAAGGCTTGCCTATTGTATCTAAGCATATTTTCTGAAGATGTTGAGATCGATAAAAATATTTTGATATGGAAATGGATAGCTGAAGGTTTTGTTCAAGACGAACAAGCAGCAGGGGTAGAGTTATTTGAGCTTGGAGAGGGTTGTTTCAACGAGCTGATAAACAGAAACATGATCATGCCAGTGGAGGTACAATATCAAGGGTATCAATCTAAGGCACGCTATAATGAAGGGTATGTATATGGTTGCCGTGTCCACGATATGATGCTTGATTTGATCTGTTCATTGTCGAAGGAAAAAAATTTTGTTACCCTGGTGGACAGCTATGAGCAAGTGGAACTTCCGCTGAGCCATGCTCGCAGGTTAGCCATGCAGAGTATGAGTATTAAAGAGATAAACCGTCTTCAGCTGCCTAATATGGGCATGGAGCAAGTGAGGTCCTTTTTGGCTAATCGTTGTTATGGTATTAGTTTGGCATTCTCAGACTTTCGAGTGTTACGTATATTAGCTCTAGAATATTGTCAGGGCAAAATTAATTTGTCGCATTTCAGGAGTTTATATCACCTGAGGTACCTGGGGCTAGTCAATGCGGAAATTACAGAGCTCCCCAAGGAAGTGGGAGATCTGATGTTTCTCCAGACATTGGATCTACGAGAAACTTCTATACTGGAGCTGCCAGAATCTGTGGGTCTGCTGACACAACTGTTATGCCTATATGTTGATCATCGTACATGGGCGCCAGTTGATCTGATCGGGAAGCTGACGTCCCTGCAAGAGCTGTGCATAAGGCCTGCTTATGCGTACGACAGGTTCTACGATGACAAGGCCAATGGTATGAGACAGTTTGTGAAGGCGTTGGGCAGGCTGGGAGAATTGAGGGTGCTCCAGACTCAGATTGATATATTGGATGATAGCATGGAGAAAGATTTGCTAGAGTCTCTAGACAATCTGCAGAAGATACGGTCCTTGGAAATTTTGGGGGCATCACGAGGGTTGAACGTCGAATGGACTAGAACAGGATTCATTTCCCCTAGGCATCTCCAGCGCCTGTATTTGGAATGCCTTGAGTTTTCTGGACTGCCTGCATGGATTAACTCGTCACTTCTTCCAAACCTCTCCTATCTAAATATGACAATGGAGGTTGTGCAAGAGCAGGACATGGAAACCCTTGGGATGTTTCCTATACTCTGTTACCTAAAATTATATTCGCGTTGTACAAAGCTAGTAAGCTTTAAGCATACAAGCAATGCAGGCTACTTCCAGAAGTTGAAATCCTTCAAGATTGTTGGTTCATCAGTCAGGTTTGATCTGAGTGGCTGCGACATAGAATCTTCTTTCATGCCAAGCCTTGAAACCTTTGAGACTGATGTCCATGTACGCTTCCTAAAAGATGCGAACATGCTTGGTTTCGACAAGCTTGGCTTGGAGAACCTCCCTAGTTCGCTAAAGAGAATCATTGTTGTAATCTGCTGTCGAGATGCCAGTGGTGCAGAGGTTGAGGAAGCACAGGCGGCATTGGAGCATGCAACTGACAGCCATGCCAACAGTCCTAAACTTACAATTATGAGATATGGAGTACAAATTAAACGGCCCTTGTGAGGTATGCTGATGATATCCCTGATTATGAGGTATGTGTTAATAGCGTAATTTGGCTTATGGTTAGGTCATTTTAGACAAGCCAAATTATGTAGAATAACGGGTGTAATTGTCTAGAAATTTGTTTAAGAAAATCAATTCAGTTTATATGTGCAGTAATATGTGATGCACCGGAGGTGTACGAGTTGCTGGGGAGCTGCAGCGTTTGGATCAGCATGGTGATGCATGTGCTGCGCTAGCTACCGTGCTACGACTGAGGAGTTCCTGCTGTGCATTCTGTACATGCTAGACTGATTTGATCATATGAATGTGGTATTACTCTCTTACTCCTTCGCACGCACGGGAGGCTTCATTAGAACGGATACCCTCATCTCAATCGGACGGTAAGCCCCATCTCAATCGGGCACAGCGTCCGTCACAGACTAGAAGTCACTGATGTGAAGAGTTATCTCAATCGGGCAAATGGCCGTCACGAATGAATATATCTCAATCGGGCCCTAAGTAAAACCTGTCATCGATAGCTTTGACCCAGACGACCAATCAAACTATAGCCCGTCACAGATGACCTATCTCTATTGGGCCACAACTAGCGCCCGTCACAGATGACTACTAACATTTATCGGGCCTAAACTAGAGCTCGTCACAGATGATACTCATCTCAATCGGGCCTAAACTATAGCCCGTCACAGATGACTGATGACCTCAATCGGGCCTAAAATAGAGCCCGTCACAGATGACTACTGACCTCAATCGGGCCTAAACTAGAGCCCGTCACAGATGACTACCTATGTTACCTAGATACGGGGATACGGATACGGATACGCGATACGTCGATACGGCATTTTTTGAAAAACATGGATACGGGGATACGTCTATATATATATATATAATAAAAATATAAATACTTACTTCAACTCTTGTAAATTTGGAAATATGCCCATATACAAATACAGACACACCCACACATGTCAATGAAATGGGATAAGTTTGCTGCCTGCAGCATTACCAGCCTGCAACTACTACACTAAAAAAAAGAATGCACATGTACTCTATGGAAAGAAAAGAAACAACAGCAAAAAGTATCCGGCAGTATTTGGGCTGTGTCCAGCTGACAACGGAGACGGAGGCGCTGGGAGCTGCGTCCATCAGCTGTGGACGAGCGGCGGCGGCACCATACCCGACGGTGGAGGTGCTATGTCCACTGACGGCCGCACAACCGACGACGGAGGGGGAAGAGCCATGTCCGGCGGCGGCGCCAGCAGCGCCACGCCCAACGGCGGAGGAGCCGCAGCGTCCGGCATCGGCGGCTTTTGAGGTATGGTGAATAAGATTGAGAAGCTCATACGGTGGTTGGCTTGGATCTGTACTTCTCTTGCGATTTCAATGGATCGAACTGACATACGTGGGATTATGGGGATGCATCGAGGCGTATCCAGGAAGTATCGGATTTATTTTGATTATTTGAAAATCGCAAAAATTATGGATACGTACCCGATACGTATCCGTATCTGACACGGATACGCGAGATTTTTGCCGTATCCAGGTAACGCTGATAACTACTGACCACAATCGGACTTAAACTAGTGCCCGTCACAGATGACCTTATCTCAATCGGGCATTTAGTTATGACCCGTCAGAGATATCCAATATCCCCAGCTCCCCAGCATCACCCATTCATATACATATGCATTCACATACACAGACATCAACATATTTCACACAACGACACATTCACAGCCAGCTCATATTTCACATCCATTCAAATATTTATCATATTTCACCTGCAAAACCGAGTTAATTTGATCAAATATTTATTTAGCAAGCCTTAACATAAACATATGAAATATATACATAAATATAAACATCACAGTTACATCATCACAGTTGCATAATAAGTGTTCATCATTGCCTAAACATAAAAGTTCAACATTGTTCATCATTTTAGTTTAAGCCTAAACATTCCTTTGGGGTTAATTATTTCGCGGAGGATGAAGCTGGCTATCTCCTCGTGAACCTCCTCAAAGCTGGTAGGCAGAGACTTGGTTATTGTGCCCTACATTGTCATAATTCCAGATTAGTTGATCGATCATATATAAGTACTAAAATGTAGTTAGTCTGTCACAATTGAGACCACCGACCTCAAACTCAGCCAAAGTCTTCACCTTTTCTCTAGACAGAAGGCACATGTTGTGGCACACATGGAATCCGCACTGGTCACCTATTTGTTGCTTCACCGGGAAGTCTTTTTTGTGGATGAGGGTGTCATGTCCTGTCTTCCTGAGGCCTCCTCTTTGCACGTATTGGGCCCACGCTTCATCTATCGCTAGTTGAATTGGGGTTCAATCATATGCGTTCTTATCAATTCTGGAGTTCAGGTAGTGACATGTACTCCACTTAGGTGTTATGACAAGAAGAATCCAATGGGCACTGCGGCATTAATATAATAAAAGTTAATTAAGTACTCAAGGAATGTGTCATGCTGTTGTGTATATTTAGTTAACACACTTACTATTGATTATAGGCGCACATAATGTACTCCTTGTCTCGGCGGGACCACAAGGTGTCGTAGATGTAGTTGACCATTCCTTAACGGTCATTCTGGAGATTTGTGACAGTGACCACTTGTGGATCAAGGAAGGCAACTTCCGGTGCATGCTTCAGACACCACTGCCAACTTAACCTACACACAGGATAAACGATCTTGTAAACAAGTTAAACCGATTGTTATTACCAGATTGAGTTGGGCGACAATACTTACAAGGAGTAGCACTTAAGGAGGCTTGTGTCCACCACTCGGAGCCTGTAGAGGTTGAAAAGATCCTTGAAGTCGACCACAATATAATTTGTTGGACCAAGGAATGGCTTTCTATCGTGCTCTCCAAGGATATCGGTAGCTTTACTTGGCTTCCTGGCGTTAGATTTCTCCATATAGTATAAGTGAAGGTCCTTGCAAGCGGTGCCCATTGCGGCAAGCACGTCATCTCCAACCAATGGCATGCCTAGTTGGAACTCCTGTGGAGCGACGTATTTCTTCTTGACCTCTTTGCCCTTAGTCTCTTCTTGGCCCTTGCCCAGATCTAGCTTCCTTGGAGCTAGAAGCGAGGCCTACACCTTTCCTCCCCTTCCTCTCCCCTTTGCTTCGGGTTTATCGAGAGTAATTCTCTAAGGGGAAGAGTGTGCCTTCCTGCTCTTCTTCATCGGTGGGGGTTCATGAATCGCCTTGCTGTCGGCCTCCGTTCGGTCCTCCCCAAAATCCGTGTCGTACTGCAACTGCAAATCGTAAGATTGTGCATGACGATCTTGAGCAGGAGGGGCTGAAGGAGCAGAGGCGGGTCTCTTTGATGGACGACCGCCTGGTGCAGTGGTTGGCCTCGCTATAACCCTGATCTCAATGAGGTCCTTGGGCCATTGGATGAAGGTACCACGGGCATTTCCTAGTGAGAGGACCTCGTCGTTCGGTGGATACTTTAGAGGGAACAGCTCGTATTCGGGCTTCACCGAGTCGACTTGAACTTTCGCACAGTCGGCCCTGAGTTGCGCTCCATGCACTCTTGTCTCTGGGGTCGGCTTGTACGCAAGTCCCTCGGCTGCTGGAACCGTGAAGGTCGGCATCACCCTAACTATGAGGGTGCAGCTCGTTGGTTCCTGCGATAGATTAATCAATTTTTTTAAAATATTATATATCATATGGATTCGTTAAGTCTTTCATGTATTGAGTAAGTTCACGGTTACCATTATGTGGTCGACGGCGCTGTCGACCGATGTTGGATTTTTCGCCAACTCAGTTGATGCGCAACTGCTGCGTTTTTGGGTGGGACTTCCTAACTCTTCGTGCGCAGCAGTAGCGGCGGCCTGGGGGTTCTGTTGCTCTTCTCGGATCTCTTGCCTAATCTTGGCCCTCATCGACTCGAGCTTTTCGTCGAATTCAGATGTCAGCTCAGCTCTTATCGACGCCCGGATCTTGGCTTCAAGGCGTGCATCTTTCTCCGCCTTGTTGGAAGTCCGCTTCTTGTACTGCCACGCGTAGTTTGGAAATCCATATTTCCAGGGAACAGAAGACCCAACGCCTCGTGTCCGTCCACGGTGTTCCTTGTTGCCCAACGCTTTCGTGAGGAGGTCGTCCTCGCGTCTTTGAGAGCAGGCCTCTTGCGAGGCTTGTTGCTCGGCAACCAACTCCTTCTGCATTACAATTTAGTGGGGTTAAATAAACTGCACGATGGCAAACAATGCGAACATCTAGTTTGACTGGACACTTACTATAGCTTCGTATACTCGTTGATCTTCTGCATTTGGCATGAAGATTGTGCCATCATCATTCTTCTGGTACCTGGCCCTGGCCCAGTTTCTAGCCCGAGTTTGTGGGATATCGCCAAACACGAGCTGTGTGCACGATTCCTCCGCTCCTTCATCCTCACGCTGCCATTCCTCTTCCTTACTGGCATATCCGGCGGTGCCAAGCCGGTGCGGATGCTGGTTCCTGGTCTGGAGCAAGCGATATGCCTCGCTTCTAGCTCTGGACTTGGGGGTCGACTTCTTCGCATGGAATTCCTCCCAGACCTGTTCTGTGATCCAAGGAAATTTCTCACTTGGATCTGGATTTGCCGGGTTGTACACGAACTCGCCGACTAGCTTAGTCTTGAAGTTCTTCCAAGCATTGCCCATAACCTTGAAAGCAGCCCGCCTGAGACGGTCCTCATGCTCCACAGGATAATCAAAGCTCTCCTTGAACGTTAGCCAAGCAATGTCCTTCTCTGCGGCCGGCATGAGCTTAATGTCATCTTGCAGAATACTGAATTTCTGCCTCCCTATGACCCCGCAGATAGATCTAAATCGGCTCAATATTTTCCTTGGAGATGTCGGCAACCCTACGGCGTCCACCGCTGTTATGTGGAACCGTTCCTTAGGGATTTTGTTCCCTGTCCTAGGAGTACGTGCCCTTGAGGACCCACTAGTTGTCGTCGACATGAGCCTGCGCGTACGACGCTTGATCGGGCCTAATTCTTTTCCTTCCGATTGTGCCAACACCTGATAACCTTCCCTCGTGACGAGACGCTGGAACTCCGATAGGATCGGCATCGGACATGTAGATTATGGTTGTATTCTTCTTCATCGACGACGTTGTCAACTCCTACAATTCGGCGCTTTCCATCCCTCACGATGTGCATCTTCTTGTTTGAAGGGTCTTTTATGTAGAATATCTACTCGACCTGTTTCACAAGTACAAATGGTTCATCGGCGTATCCCACCTTAGATAGATCAACTAAAGTGAAACCTTCCTTCTCGGCTTTGACACCAGTGCGTAGATTCACCCAACGGCA